CTCTCCTTAGACTGATGTGAGGATCTAATAAATGAATGTACTAAAGTTCTTAGATCAATGTAAGATTCATAGAAAGAGTTTATGAGCCAGGCACGTGGTTCACACCTGTAATCTCAACACTTTGGGAAGCCAAGGCAGGCAGATCACTTGAGCCCAGACCAGCCCAGGCAACATGGCAATATTCCATCTCTACTAAATATACAAAAAATTAGGTGGTAGCTCACACCTGTAGTTCCAACCACTAAGGAGGCTGAGATGGGAAGATCACTTGCGCCCGGGAGGTCACGGCTGCAGTGAGCTGAGATTGCACTATTGCACTCCAGACTGGGTGACAGAGTGAGATCCTTCCCTAAAAAAGAGTTTGTGCTTGTTGGTAGAGATATTATTATCGTAGTGGTTATTACTGGGCGAAAGCTTCCCTAACCATATGCTTTCCTGACCAGAAAGCCCTCTTAGAGGAGGTTACTCACTTTGAGTACCAACGAAGCAGGAGCTAGTCAAACGGCTGAGGGGGTGAGAGAAGGGGAAGGGAAAGGAGAGAGAATGAGGGGAGGGGATAGAATATAGGGATGGGACACAGAGACACAGAGGTGTGGAGGAACACAGAAGGTATGAGAGCAGAAATTGGTGGAATTCAATCATGAAAGGGATTTGGAAGAGGAGAATCTGGAAGAGAGAGTTAAGGACAGTTCATAAGGGATAAATCATAAAAGGTCTGAAGTATTATGCAGGCCAGACATGGTGGCTCATACCTGTAATCCCAGCACTTTGGGAGGCTGTGGCTGGTAGATCACTTGAGGTCAGAAGTTCAAGACAGCCTGGTCAATATGGTGAAACCCCGTCTCTACTAAAAATAGAAAAATTAGTCAGGCATGGTGGTGCATGCCTATAATCCCAGCAACTCGGGAGGCTGAGGCAAGCGAATCACTTGAACCCGGCAGGTGGAGGTTGCAATGAGTCAAAATCATACCACTGCACTCCAGCCTGGGTGACAGAGCTAGACTGTCTGAAAAATAAAAAATTAAAATTTAATAAAGTATCATGCAAAGGAATTTGGATTTTTAACAACTAATTTATAGAAATCTTTTCCAGAAACTTGTGAAGTCCTTATTACTATGTACTGGCAAAGTTTAACTAAACAAGGAAACAGAAAAATGTGCTCAATGGTCAGTTTCTGATACTAAGAATGGAGAACGAAGTGGAAGGTCCCATAGGGACCTAGATCTGGCTGCAGGTCCACGGAGTTGTGTTGACTGTGACTGATTTCCCATAGCTTCTTTTCTCAGAGCCTGAAGTGGCTAAGTGGCTACCCTCCACCCACGCAGCATAATAACAGCCTACATTCCTAATGGCATCAAGGCTGTGGTAGAGTCTCCTACAATTCTCCCTAAGCCCATTTGTCCTTACAGTCAGAGCCCTGACATTTGGTTCTGGTATCCACACTCTCTAGCCAGCCTGGAACTCAAGGGGTAAATCCTGATTAGCTTAAACCATTCACATAATTCTATCCCCTTTCCTACTGATTGGCTGAGGTATCAATGGGCACTTGTCGCAATTCTGGCCAGAGACATAAGGGAAATCAGAAGACCTTTGGGAAAGGCTTCCTCTCTCTGAAAAAGGAACACACAAGATGACATGGACTCTTCTTCCTCTGTGTGTCATGTTGGTGTGTGATACCAGGAATTGTGTACCTTCTAGAGCCATCTAACATAATATCTTACATAGTACAGTAAGGTAAGTTTTTGTTCCATTGAAAGTTGAAGATTTATAACAACTTCCTATGACATATGTAGGGTGGTTGCTATCCTTTAGTAGATTAGGAAGCCAAAAGAAATGAATTGGCATATATAAGGCCTAAAGAATGTGAAGGAATAAACCTAGGTCTCATGAATATGTGTGTTTCTGCAATACCAGGATGTTTCTCCTAAATTTTACCAAATACACACCAAAAAATATCAGGCACAGCTTCATAAAGGTTTGCCTTTGTGCCCAGACAACAAAGCAAGGTATGAAGGTGAACTAAACTGTTACATTAGATTAAAATGCCTTTTTGCATTTTTATCACAATATATAAACCATTTGAAGCTGAGCTAAAAAAATATACATGAAAAGATGGATGATCATGTTTAATATGAAAGATTCCCTCAAATCTGAGTGACATAGCTACTCCAACAGTAAATAACCAATAACAGAGCTTCCCAGCCAGCATGTCCAAAGGGGTGAGGGCTTTGGGGATGCAGCCGTTGTCTCACTCTTTGCGGGGCCTTCTCAGGTCACCCCAGTGTACATACACATACCACCACTATTTACACGTGCCAAGACGTGAAATTCATGTGGGAAACACATACTTGTCTTGTCTTGTCTCTCCCCATCTCTCGTACTGCTCTTTCACAAACTCTCCATCTCAGTGAACTGACCTGTTCAATGTTCCCCACTTGCCTTCTGGCTTGAGGACCTGCCCCTGTGATTTCTCTTGCCTTGAAACGCGGACCTTCCCCTACATATTTGAAACAAAATTTTAAAATCCCACCCAAAGTGAACTCCTCCAATAAACTTACATAATGAAAGTTACATCATACAGTTAAACCACTTGGACTGCATATGCTAACACACTGCACATGTTATTCTGTCCTCTGCATGTTTTGTCTCTCCAAGTAGATCATAAATCATCTCTTTGAAGGCCATTGCAAAGAGTTTTCCTCATAACAAATAATTCACTTCTCATGTCTATTTATCAATACTTCCTACTGTGTTCATATTTTCTAAACTGTTCTTTCTTGTCATTACTGTGATAATTGATGTGATATAGAAGGTGAGAGCCTTTGATTGTGTTTTTTCCCCAACCAAAATGCATTGTATGTCTACAGATTCACAGAAGGGAAAAATAATAAATATATTATTAAAACAGGATATTAATGAGGACTGAGGGTCTTCTAATTATTCTGGAGATGGAGATATGAAATATTCTTACTCGTAAAGGATGCTCTGCCTGAAGGAAGTATCCACAGAGGAAGGAAATCTTTGCCATTACTTCTTCCTGGGAACATTTACTACAGATAGTCAAATTTTAGCAGCTATATTAAGATTTGGGGAAGAGCAGGGTACTTTTAATCTCAAACCACCAATAAACCTGACGTATTTGCAAGTTTGTCATAGAACAGAAAATCCTTTGCATAATCAAACTTAGATGAACTGTTCCTTCAGAATCAGGAAGGGCCAAGAGGCTGAGTCTGTCATTTCTGGAGTGTGTGTGTGTGTGTGTGTGTGTCCAGTGCCAGATTAGGACTTGGCCCCCTGGAAGTGACTGAGCCAGGACAGGGAAGGGATCTGTTGAATGGTCTGGGGACAAAGCTGGCCAAGCTCATGGTCTCTCTGAAGTCAGCCCTGCTACCCTCAAACCTCCTTCCACTCCACCCACCCCCATAAGCCCTTCCACACACTCTCGGTAAAACACAGCTTGACAAGCTCTCACTTCATGACTTGGTGGCTACAGTGTGTTGATCTTCCCTCTGGACCAACCAAGAAGGTCAACACTGACACTTCTAAAGCTGCCAGCCTCCTAAGGGAGTATTCCTATATAGGAATATACTTTGGGAAGCTGATAAGCCCACTCTAAATATTTAAGAGGCAGCCTTTGAATTAAATGATTTGCCTGCTAATGTCAACTATTAGAGTGCTATTTAAAAGTTAAAATCCAAGGGGCATAAGTAAAAGGAAATAAGTCAAATCAATCATTTACCTTGATATCAGAGTAATTCAGAGGAACTCTTAGTTATATATCTCCAAGAGACTTGTGAGGCCATCTCCATCCTATCTGCTGCCCTTGAAGCTCAGCTGGAGTCCTTGAAAACCCAGGTTGCAAGATGAACTCTAGTATAGGAAACTCTTGAGATGGAGGGAAGGGGGCACTGGTTCAGGATGCTTGGAGGTTCTGCAAAGAACTGAGGTCACCTGGAAGATACAAAGCTACCCTAAATATGATTTAGGATGGCTTTTCTATTCATTCTCTACTCCCATAGGAATCAGGAGCCATCTCCCAGGATGGAATCTGCCTGATGCTATAACAGTGTTCAGTTCCCCAATTTCCCTATGATATCAAATATTTCCCCAGGATACCAGATATTTTCCCATGATACTAAATATTTCCCCCTTGATACCAGATATTTTGTCTGCAGTCAATTGATCAATCATTGTTGACAGTAAGGCTCCATCCTCAACACATGACATTTTCTGAAGCATTAATTTTTGTTTCAATAGTTGATCCTTGTTTGGAATATAATGTATTACAATGTAGTGGTACTAAGCATTAAAATCAAAATACCTTATTATTCATCTTTCAATTTTAATACTTTTAGCATTTCAACCATTATTTGAAGAGTTACTTACTGCAGTATGTCACATTTATATACATACACATGCACATGCTGCAGTGCTTTCAGTCTGAGCCAGTGATATTTTAGGCCCCAAATGCTCTGAAAAAATAGAGAAAGCTCTCACCAAGCTAAGGAAGTGAGCTCCCAGACCGTGCCTTTAAAAATATTCAGCTTGATAACTTAGTCCTCAAGATGACTAGGTTTCTCTTCCCTTACCCATCAGTTAGTGTATAAACAAGGATTCATTTGAATTCCCAGGAAGGGAATGAGTTTAATTTGACTGGTAAAAGTCTTCCTAATAATATGTCTAATACTGTGGCTCTCAGGCCTTTTCTTCTACTTAGAACTAGCTACAAAGATAGATCATATGTTTATGTCTCATAATGGATATTTTTGGTTTGGATTTATGTCATTTTGTCTCAGTATCACAACTTTTGAAAAATTAGTTCAAAGAGTTAAAAAAAAAAAGAAAAAGAAAAAAAACCATGGTAAACACTGCTCAGTCTCATACTCTTGCCCTCTCTATGCTAAAACAGGAAATGCATTTCTGACACTTTTAAAATGAGCAATCACACGTATAATCAACTTGGTTAAAACTTCCTTCCTGGTAACTGCAACACTTCCTCTGCATCTGGATATGAAGGGAGCCCCAGAAAAGCGGAAGAGTTTAGAGGCACACTGGGTAGGTTTGAATTTGTTTTGTTTTCAAAAATTAAACAAATGATCCTTCAGCATCATCGCCTCCGCTGCTTTATCAGGTATTGCTTCCTTCTATTTTTTGCTCTTTGTTGGGTCTGACACGGAATAGTGGCACTTCCTTCTGGGCTAGATTATTTTTATCTGGAACTGGTGTCAGTTCTTGAGATGATACTACCACTGAATGTCTGTGTTTCATTGTCTAGTACAACCTGTATTGTGGATATCCACTAGGTTCCGGCAATAGTTTTGCAGGTGCATCAGATCTTTGTTTTTGTTTTGGGAGGAAAAGGGAAGGCACGGCAGCCAGGCTTCATATTCTTACAAGTGCATGCTTAAAGATTACTGTACTTACAGTGTTTCATCTCATAAAAGGAGAAAGCTTCATAGTTCAACCATGAAGGAAACCAGTGAGTATTAGTCAGCCTGTTTTCCTCTGCATCTTATAAGATCGTTTGGTATCACCGAGGCAGAAGTTATTGCTGTGTATTTATATGCTGCCTAAATTTGGACATGTTTTATTTCAAGTTAGTGTCAATATCAATGTATCTTACAGTTCTCTTCTTTGTTAGTTATTCTATAATGCAGCAAAAGACCAAAATGAACGCTTTAAGCCACAAGAGACAGTTCTTTAGGACAGTTGGTTTCACGTACTAAATATAAGTTCATATTTTAAGAGAGGGAATATTGGTTTTAAAAGTTAAGCCAAGATTTAACATAAGTTTGGATCAAATGAAATTTGTCTTTCTTATCTTTTAATCAAGCTCTCTTTTTTGGTATACATCAAATGCTCCACTATTTCTTAAGGAAATAATGTAGTTGTGAGTCTAACATTAGTTATTTAAAAGAGTAAATGATACTTTCCGAAACATTTTGTTTCAATAGTTGATTCCTGTTTAGAATATAATGCATTACAATGTAGTAACACTAAATATTAAAAGCAAAATACCTATCTATTCATCTTTCAGTTTTAATGCCTTTCCAATTTCAATCATTATTTGAAGGATTTCATATTGCAGTATGTCACATTTATGCTTAATTGCTTTGTGAAGGGTAAGTACTTACTGAATTTTGTGGAAAGAGTAGGTTAATGAGAATAAATTTGTGAATATGTGTTATAAAAATGAAAATACTAGAGCAAAAAAAAAGTTAAATAATTGATTGGGGATCTAAACAGAAGGTCACTAGATTCCAGAAATCCTGCTCTCCATCCTGTGGCTTCCCCACTATTAAGTAGAGACAGATCAAATTAATTGGTACAAAGTTAAAATTACCTAAATGTTTCTACTAGGAGAGTACAGTCTTGGGTGACTCTTCTAAGATACTGCCATAATATAGCAATGACAGCCAGAATACTGACAAATTCCATGATTCAAAATTTTACCTATCTGCAAACAGTTTCGACTGTAATTTTATCAATTCCAACATTTTTTAGCTTTATGAATGAAATGACTTGTTTTCCTAATTAGGAAAAAAAAATGAATCCAAGAGACAGGAAATTGACTAGGGAGTAGATCCTGGGCCTGGCAGTTTGAGAACAGGGAATGTGACGCAAGTTGGGTGAAGTGTCTGGGTTCCAAGAAGTGTGAGACTGAACAAAGAGGAAGTAAGTTAAGGGCCTGTTTTCAAAGTGAGGTTTTCTGGCATCTCATGATGCACCTTGTAAACTTGGACTTGATCCTTAACTGTACTGTTTTAGTCATCTATACGTTTCAGTATGTTTAAGAACAATTTCCATTCTGAGCCATTATAACGTGTCACACGCTGTGCTGGATGAGTGTTTTCCCCACCTCTTTAAAACTGTCAAAGTATACAAAAGTAGAATAATCAATAAGCCTCCATATACCTGTCACCCATATTGAACAAGTATTACTTTATTTAACTCTCACCTCCACCCTCTGAGGCATTACTGACTCCTTTGAGAGATGAGAAACAGGCTCAGATATTAAACAGCCCCCAAGTGACCCAGAATGTAATTGCTGGGGCCAAGACTCACCGCCCGACTCCAAAGCCCACGCTTTGAAAGGCTGTAGTGCTTTCAGCTTAAAATCCTTGGTCTCTCTGGGTCCCTGTGCACACGTCTGCCGCTTATACCTCCTCTTCCTCTCATCTCGCCAGAAAAACTTAAAGGGAAAATGCCTTTCTTGTGACAAATCCCTGTGTCCCTCCGCTCCCAGGTCGCTTAGGGCATGGAGCTGGAGAACTATGAACAGCCTGTGGTGCTGAGAGAGGACAACCGCCGCAGGCGCCGGAGGATGAAGCCGCGCAGCGCTGCGGCCAGCCTGTCCCCCATGGAGCTCATCCCCATCGAGTTCGTGCTGCCCACCAGCCAGCGCAGCTGCAAGAGCCCCGAAACCGCGCTGCTGCACGTGGCGGGCCACGGCAACGTGGAGCAGATGAAGGCCCAGGTGTGGCTGCGCGCGCTGGAGACCAGCGTGGCGGCGGACTTCTACCACCGGCTGGGCCCGGACCACTTCCTCCTGCTCTACCAGAAGAAGGGGCAGTGGTACGAGATCTACGACAAGTACCAGGTGGTGCAGACTCTGGACTGCCTGCGCTACTGGAAGGCCATGCACCGGAGCCCGGGCCAGATCCACCTGGTGCAGCGGCGTGCGCCCTCCGAGGAGTCGCAGGCCTTCCAGCGGCAGCTCACCGCGCTGATTGGCTATGACGTCACCGACGTCAGCAACGTGCACGACGACGAGCTGGAGTTCACGCGCCGCGGCCTGGTGACCCCGCGCATGGCGGAGGTGGCCAGCCGCGACCCCAGGCTCTACGCCATGCACCCCTGGGTGACGTCCAAGCCCCTCCCGGAGTACCTGTGGAAGAAGATTGCCAACAACTGCATCTTCATCGTCATTCACCGCAGCACCACCAGCCAGACCATCAAGGTATCGGCCGACGACACCCCCGGCACCATCCTGCAGAGCTTCTTCACCAAGATGGCCAAGAAGAAATATCTGATGGATATCCCCGAAAGCCAAAGCGAACGGGATTTTGTGCTGCGCGTCTGTGGCCGCGATGAGTACCTGGTGGGCGAAACGCCCATCAAAAACTTCCAGTGGGTGAGGCACTGCCTCAAGAACGGAGAAGAGATTCACCTGGTGCTGGACACGCCTCCGGATCCGGCCCTAGACGAGGTGAGGAAGGAAGAGTGGCCGCTGGTGGACGACTGCACGGGAGTCACCGGCTACCATGAGCAGCTGACCATCCACGGCAAGGACCATGAGAGTGTGTTCACTGTGTCCCTGTGGGACTGTGACCGCAAGTTCAGGGTGAAGATTAGAGGCATTGATATCCCGGTCCTGCCGCGGAACACCGACCTCACGGTTTTTGTAGAGGCAAACATCCAACATGGACAGCAAGTGCTTTGCCAAAGGAGAACCAGCCCCAAACCCTTCACAGAGGAGGTGCTCTGGAATGTGTGGCTTGAGTTCAGTATCAAAATCAAAGACTTGCCCAAAGGCGCTCTACTGAACCTCCAGATCTACTGCGGCAAAGCTCCAGCACTGTCCAGCAAGGCCCCTGCGGAGTCCCCCAGTTCTGAGTCCAAGGGCAAAGCTCAGCTTCTCTATTATGTGAACCTGCTGCTAATAGACCACCGGTTCCTCCTGCGCCGTGGAGAATACGTCCTCCACATGTGGCAGATATCCGGGAAGGGAGAAGACCAAGGAAGCTTCAATGCTGACAAACTCACATCTGCAACCAACCCAGACAAGGAGAACTCAATGTCCATCTCCATTCTTCTGGATAATTACTGCTACCCAATAGCCCTGCCTAAGCATCAGCCCACCCCTGACCCGGAAGGTGACCGGGTTCGAGCAGAAATGCCCAACCAGCTTCGCAAGCAATTGGAGGCAATCATAGCCACTGATCCACTTAACCCTCTCACAGCAGAGGACAAAGAATTGCTCTGGCACTTTAGATATGAAAGCCTTAAGCACCCAAAAGCATATCCTAAGCTATTTAGCTCAGTGAAATGGGGACAGCAAGAAATTGTGGCCAAAACATACCAATTGTTGGCCAGAAGGGAAGTCTGGGATCAAAGTGCTTTGGATGTTGGCTTAACAATGCAACTCCTGGACTGCAATTTCTCAGATGAAAATGTAAGAGCCATTGCAGTTCAGAAACTGGAGAGTCTGGAGGACGATGATGTTCTGCATTACCTTCTACAGCTGGTCCAGGTAGGGGGTGTTGGTGTTGTTATCAATGGAAGCCTTCTCAAAAGGAATTTATTTGCATGTGCACAAGCACCCCATTCAGTTGTCATCAAACGCCCTTTGTTCAGAGCTTCATCATCGGCCAAAGTAGATCTGATGAAGCGGCCTCAAAAAGTAGTAAACTGTTCCATGCACATTTTTACTGTCTTGGAGGGTTTGCTGACAAGTGTTTTGAAGACAGTAGTACTTCACGTTTTTAGGAGAATTGGCCCTGAGGGAATACTTTGTTCTCATTTATTACTTTAACGATAGATTCCACTTACTGAATGCTTCCTTGTGACTCCAAGTGACTGACATGCTTTCAGTATTGTCTCATTTAACTCTTCCAATAACTATGATGGAAGTCAAATTAATATTTGCACTTTGTACATGAGGAAACTGAGCTACAAAGAGGCTAAGTAAGGTGCCCAGGTCACATACTCTGAATGAGGCAGACCAGAATTCAAACCCAGGAGGTCTGCCTCCAGATCCTGCTCTTTTCACTGCCCCAAACCTTTCACAAACCCACCACCATATCCTTCATCAGTCCGGTGTCAGGATTCTGGGGCTAGAGAGAAAAGGTCTTACTCTCTATGTTTATTGCAGTTCACAGAATAACATCTCATGTCTGGGTAGAATCTTGAAAGCTCCTCTCTGCAGACAGGTATAGGACTGTATGTATTTCTACTCTGTTTCTCATGACATTCCTTGGGGTCCTGAGAGGACAAGTGATTTTTCTAAGGTTTAGCTAAGAATTTAAAGAAAGAAGGGGAAACAGTTCTCCTGCTCACTTTAGCAGTTCTCAAATTATATTGTACTGCTTGACAAGGAAAAGGAAGTAAATGAATTTGAATAGAAATGCTATTTTAGAGCACAGACCTATTTATTCATTAATTCAACAACACGTACTGAGAAGACTGGCATTAAATGAGTACACAGACAAACAGATGTTTAATACCAAATTGGGACAAATACTTAAGGGTAAACTATACCAGATTATGAGAAAACAGTCCAGGGATCCAAAGGACACATAATTTTGATTAAGGGACCCAGGGAGGGTTCTGAGGAAGTGATGTTTAGCCTGAGATCTTTAGAATTAACCAGGCTAAATTTTACACACTAAACTGTCTAATCACTATCTATTATTTCTAGGAAGTTCTGGAGTTTTCTGATAAGCATTTCGGATAGCCTCAACTTTAACTCTGAATCTTCACCTTCCTGTTAGTCAGATACTTGAAACATTACATTTGGCTTTGTTTTCATCCATTAAATATATTCAGTAGTTTGTTTCACTAGTTTAGATATTGGTATAACACTAAACAATTTTAGAATAATTAAAGAATTTTCAATTTTCTAGCTCTCCTTAATAAAAACAACATAAACTTGGATGAGCTCTATTGCAAATCCCAAGGCTACCATGAATTAGTTTTCACAAGTAAACTTTAAAGAGCTGGAAAATGAATAATGTTCTTTTTAGAAATGTGTTAAATGAAAAAGGTCAATAAATAATATTAACATTGAATTTGTGGTCTTAAATCTGAAGAAGAGTAGTCATTTGTAAAACTACTTGAGACATTTTCAGCTATGGCTATATGACTCATTCCTGATTAAAATGGTCTCCTAGTTGAGATCTGTACTGTCTTTACAGAAGTGAAACCTGAAGAAGGTCAGAAAGACTCACATCTGGGTTAGAAACTTAAAACATTTCAAAAATGAGTACTGGTGGCTAAATGACCACATTCTCAGAATTAAGCCCTTTGATGCAGCTACAGTGGCACCTATTTGACAGTACCTTTGAAAAGCATTTTTGTAAACACTTGTATAATTGAAACATGATGAAGTCACTATTGATCATTTCCAAACTGGAACACCAGAGGAGGAATTGTAACTCCTTCCAAGAAGCCCCCGTTCCTAAAATATAAACTAGAATAGGAATTTCTTCCATTCCTCAAGAAAAAAGGATATGCCATTTATATTCATAAAGGGCATACTCTGAGATATTTAATATTAAGTCTCTCTTCATGTATACATATGATATCTATCCTCTATACATGCTTTTATAATAATCTGAACAATATTTGTTAGTGTTGCTGCTTTTGAAATTATGAACTATTTCAAACTTCAGAAAAGCACAGAGAACAATGAAACAGCCATGCACTCAAAATATTTAATTGTGCTTTTACCAATTTTATTGGTTCTTCCTGTTCAGTAATGGACCTGTACAAAGTCAATATTCTCTAACATCAGCCCAGTGATATGAAAATGACTAAACACTAAAAATGAAGACCAAATTATACTTAAGAAAACATAAAATCAGGGACTTTTGGACAGGAAGCTCTGTACACACCAAATTGTGGCAGGGGGTAGTGATTGCTCTGTGTGGATTGACCTAGACCCACTCACTGTTTACTTGTAGTTAAAACCTATGAGACAGTACAGTAACTTGCCAGTGATATGCCAAAAATGGAAGCTACAGGGCTTTTAGGATATTCCTATCTAATGAATATTTTTCTCCTTACATGTATTATACTATATCTCTGCTGTCTATTTTCTTTCTCACATCCTCTCTTACCTTCCACTTTATAGATTTGTTACAGTGTCTCCATCTTTCCTCTCTACCCTTCCAGCAAAACCAGTAAGACCTAATTAGAGCAAATTCCCTCACCTCTCCACCTTTGAATTTACCAACAGCACATGACTGTGAGTCAAGAGTTTCAGCCTCTAATCCCACTTATGTCATTGGCTGCTCTATGATCTTAAGCAAGTGATTCAGTCTGGTCCTAAGTGTCTTCTAAAAGAGAGGATTAAACTTAAGTGACTATTAAGATTTTCATCTTTCTAGCCATGAAGACCCACTAAAGCAGAGTACCAGTTCTTCTCTATTTCCTTTTCCCTGATTCAACAACATAGAGTACAGTCCTACAAATGCCGATATTTTCTTCCTTTAGGCTGTGAAATTTGAACCATACCATGATAGTGCTCTTGCCAGATTTCTGCTGAAGCGTGGTTTAAGAGTAAGTACTTCCATTTTGATAATAGCATGAAATTTTAAGTTGCCAAGAATTGACTGGTTAGACCTAAAGCATTAGTCATAATAATTTCAACTTTCTTGTACCTGCCCTCAGAACAAAAGAATCGGTCACTTTTTGTTTTGGTTCTTGAGAAGTGAGATAGCCCAGTCCAGACACTATCAGCAGAGATTTGCCGTGATCCTGGAAGCCTACCTGAGGGGCTGTGGTACAGCCATGCTTCATGACTTTACCCAACAAGTTCAAGTAATTGAGACGTTACAAAAAGTCACCCTTGATATTAAATCGCTCTCTGCTGAAAAATATGACGTCAGTTCCCAAGGTACAGTGGCTATGTTTTCTTGGTTCTCTTTCCAGATGCTTTCGTCTCCAAATGCCATTGTTCCTATAATTCTTTTTTTTCTGGAATCTAAGTTGCATCCTTCCAAAGGCACCAAGAACACAATTTGTAGTCTTCTGTCTGCATAGAGTAAGCACATTAAAGTTCTCGTTTTACAAGTTCATAATTTTTAACTTTATATTTACATATTCTTAACTCTGAAGAGTTAAGTAACATGCAGATATAATATGTATTTTTAAGAACAATTGCATACACAAAGATTAGATATTTCCAAATCTTTACCTTTTTCTTCACATCTCTGAATATACACATATAGTTTTCAAGTTTTCAGTCTTATAAAATGATGAATTGTTGAGAGGCTATTTTAAATTTTTGGCATTTCTCTGTGTATATATCTCGAGTAATATATAGAGATACATTCATTCTTTCCTATCTGTGGTCCTAAATCTTTAAATTCAACCAAGCACAGATAGAAAACATTTGGGAAAAAAATTACATATGCATTGAACATGTACAGACTTTTTTCTTGTCATTATTCCCTAAACAGTATAGTATAATAACTATTTACATAGCATTTACATTGTATCAGATATTATAGGTATATAGAGATGATTTACAATATATGGGAGGAAGTGCATAGGTTATATGCAAATACTACACCATTTTATATCAGGGGCTTGAGCATTCGTGGATTTTGGTATCTGCAGGAGGTCCTGGAACCAATCGTTACAGAGACCAAGAGACGATTGTGTGTGTGTGTCTGTGTGTGTAAAGGTAATAAACACACACACAGACCCTGTCTTCTCTCTCAAGTGATTTCTAATATATTATACATACCATAAGAAAATCTGCCCCTGCCCTAGGAAAATTAGTCACCCCTCTGTATTTCTATAGATTTTGATTGATACTACATTAAATTAAAGTCCTTAACTGGCCTGGTAAACTGTATGAACCTTGAATGTAGAGGATATCTCTTTTTCATTTTTCTATACCTAGACCTAGCACTATGGCTTATTATATAGACACTTCATGTACTCAGTCAGTATTTTAAACTTCTGAATATTTAAAATTTCTCCTTTCTCCCTTTGATTCTTACAATGCTTCCTCCTAAAAATGATAATGGTAATAATAATATTTTATTTGTATTTTAAGAAAGGAAAACATTTGTATGGACCCTTATTCTGTTGGTTATCCAGCAATTTTTAATTCATGTAGTTTGCCTTTAGAATGTTAAGATTGTCACATCCATCTTCTCTACTTCTCTACAGAACCTAAGTTCCTTTTTTGAAAGAAATTACAGAACCCTAACCAAATTCCATTTATTATTTTCTTCAACTGTCTGTTCCTCAAATCAGATGGTAAAGTTTCACATTCTGGAAATAAAACTACAGTGTTAATTCCTTAACATTACCCTCAGAGCATTCTTCTCTACTTGATTGTGTTAATGTCTATGTGTTATCCCACATATATTCACACATTTCTGTCCCCTGTTGTAGTAGGTATACATGGTTATGTTGCTCACAGTAAGCCTGATGTATCTTGCCAGTTCATGTGATTAGTTCCTCAAAGGCAGGACCCAGCCATTTTTCTCCTGCTCCACACCAAAACAAATATATAGAATGCTGTGAATAAGTGTGTTCTCAGAAAATGTTATAGATAATACTGATGATTTCTTGAACTCACATAACTCTTGTTTACTTTTGACAATTACAGTTATTGCACAACTTAAACAAAAGCTTGAAAACCTGCAGAATTCTCATCTCCCCAAAAGCTTTAGAGTTCCATATGATCCTGGACTGAAAGCAGGAGCACTGGCAGTAGGTATCATTTGGATGTCTCCATGTGGTCTTTTATGTCTTGAAGATGTCTAACATGCTTGCTGGGGTCCAATACTTAAAAGCTAATGTTCATGCAGAGATCGGGAAGCCGTAGAGTCTGTGGATGGGTTTCTCTTAAGCCCTTGTCTGATCACTGGTTATAAAAGCCTCAATACCAGACAATTTCCCTTCCATATTATTTTAAATCAGCTTGAGATATTCCTTATAACACAATAAAAATTGTCTATTTTAAATGTAGAATTCAATGAGTTTTCACAAATGTATAGTTATATAACTACATTTGTGAAATGTAGTTATTTCCATAGAAATGTTATAGAAAAAGTTCTGTCATGTCCCGTTGCAATTAGTCCTTTTCTTCTCTCATTCTCTCTACTAATACAACAGATCTACTTTCTATCATAAAATGCCTTTTCTAGAATTTCAGTAAGAGGAATCATACAGTATACAGTTTTATATCTAAATTATTTTACTTTCTGTAATGCTTTTAAGATTCATCCATGTTATTGTATGTATCAGTAATTTATTTCTTTTTATGACAGAGTAGTTGTCCCTTATATGGATATACCACAGTTTGTTTTCCATTCATTTTTGAGTAAATGTTTAACAGTGGGATAGTTGGGTCAGATGGTGTATGTGTATAATTTTACAAGAAGCCATTCTTCCAAAGTAGTTGTACATTTAAATTCCCACCAGCAATGTGTATGAGTTCTAGTTGTTCCACATCCTAGTAAGCACTTGTTGGTATCAGTCCTTTTAATCTTAGCCATTCAAATGAGTATGAAGTGGTATATCACTGTTGTTTTTATTTGCATTTCCATAATGAGGTTGATTATCTATGTGCTTATTTTCCATTAGAGTACCTTCTTCTGAAATTTTTTAGTTCAAATCTTTCACCAGTTTTTAGGTGGGCTGCCTTCTTCTTTTTATTTATGAGAGTTACTTATATAAGCTGTATGCAAA